AACACGCCGAACCGCGAAACACGCCGAACCGCGAAACAAGGCCGTTCCGTGAGAAGGCCGAGGCACATGAGAACTCGCATCACAAGTCTGATTTCTTGAGAGAGCATTGTTGACGTTCGCGTACACATACCGGGCGTTTTGGTGTCAAGGCGCTGTAGCAAGGCTAGAGTCAGCTGCGCCGCTTCGCCACTCAAAGTCACCTGCTTACTTTGCAGTGCTTTAACAGCCACTGCACACCACAGGCGAGCTCGCAACGTTTTAGAAAACGTGGGCCCCTTTGTGTCACCCTTGCCTGCTCGCGCCACACACGCCTTGAGGTTTACGGCCAAGCTTTGCAATTCGTCTAAATGACCGGGATGGGCAATGAGTATCGAAGTACTGTGGAATCGAGCAAGCATAAAATCGAGCCTTTTTGCGGACACCGAGCTGTGTTCAAATCGGCTCGATCAGCACGTACCCGCGGTGGTCGTGGGTTTGGCCAGCAACTGATGAAGCTTTGATAGCGTGGTCACGTGAATATCTGCGAAACGGAGGCAGGAATGGCTTGTGAGGACAAGTTGATCTCAGCGACGCCAGGGCTGCGCACCCATGTACACTGTGGCAAGCAGCATACCAATGTCCCCGGTACATGAGAAACTCATTTCAAAGCGGCTGGCCAGGCGCCAAGCAGCCTCAAGGCAGCGATCCAAAATGCCAAAAATGGACTTCGGGGAGGAAGCATGTTGCAAGTGCTCGGCAATCTCCGTCAAGGCTTTTTCAGAGTGCTGCAGCAGCAAGGTGACGACGGGCAAGGTGGACTTGCTTGAAGCGGCACGACCTGAGGGCGCGTCGGTTCCCAAAGGTACCGAGTTCAGATCGCCTTCACTCTAAGTCAAAAGTCACCATGCAAGAGGCACCAAGCAGTTGATTTAGCCCACAGTCGACGTCCATGGCGCACATTGCGTTGCATTGTATCAACAAAGACTCACCAATGAGCTGGCCATAGTGCAGGCAGCAGTGAGCAGATAAAGCTGCATGCCAAACAAACTGGAGGCCTCAGCACGATATAAGCGGAAGGTCTCCAGGGTACGAGAGGCCAAGGCCAGTGCACGAAGAACCAAGCCCAAAAGGGGTGCGGTTGGGCGCGTCGTCAAGCTTTCGCCCGCGTAGTTCCAGGTGTACACAAGAGCATTTCGGACCAGCCAATGGAGTTTTAGGTCGTAAGCCAGTTGGCCACCGCGCACAAATCTGCAAACCAACAATCCAAGGATAGGCGATAGAAACACGGGTACAAGGATGAGCAGCATTCAAGCTCCGTGAACTATGCAACACGCGCGCTGCGATCGAAAAAAAAAGAAGAAGAAGAAGAAGAAGAAGAAGAGGTAATGAGTGAGTAGGAGCTGATACGCACAGGTCTAGCGACTGGAGTTGCAATGCAGCAAATGACTCGGGGATCATTTCTGGTGCAACACCAATCAGTTGAGTCAGAGCTTCGCCAGCATGAAAATGTAGTTGGGCAGCTTCAAGATGCAAGCCGTCATCCTGATCAAGCACCACGGCGCTGGCAGTGTCTCGCTTGGCTTTGAGCTGCGCACTGCCGGCACGCGTGGGTTTTTTTAACGAGCCAGCACTCGCCACCTGTTGCGCACCAGGCATCATTAAAAAAAAAAGGTTAAAAAAATGAATGGGCTGTGACGCTTGGTCGGGGTGACATCATTCGAGGGGCGCAATGTTTGTTCTGTACAACGGCATGCCGCTTGACACCACCGACCTTGATGCCAGCCAAGCTTGCTGCAAGAGCGACGTCCCAAGCTTGAAGACGCCGAGCCTCGTGGGTTAGCTGTGCCCACAGTGTCAAGGCTTCCGAGGGAGGCACCACTGGACGAAAGATGACAAACGCATGCACAGTGAACTCACACATGAGTCGTCCCTGGCTCTGTTTTCGCTTTGCGAGTGATGAACCTAGCCCACACATGCCCAATGACAATGCCAAGCTCACACACCGTTGTCGTTTCGAAATTCGCCTTCTTCCAAACCCTCGATCGTATCCAAAAGCTCAAGAAAACGAAGGCTGGTGGCGTGGCAAATGTATAAGAACGCGTGAGATTGGTGCCAAAGCAGGGCAACAAGGGAGAAAGAAAGTAACGTCCTGGAAGCAAAGGGCAACAGACCGAGCGACTTCGGCACTGGTATCCGGCACCAGCGTGGGCACGAGGGCCGTGTCAAACACCACAATGCACAAGAAGGCACCAGTGGCCACGAGTTGTTGGCGGGCAACCAGACCAGCATCGGTATTCAAACTTTTGATCTGTGCCAATTTGAGCCGAACATCCTCAAGACAACGCTCAGCAGCGGTGAGCTGAGCACGACGCTCGGCCTCTTCTGATGGTCGAAGCGCACCTGGGACGGTGAGTGCCGTCTTGATGTCTGTGTCAAGACCCTTGAGCACGGCCGCCAGGCGATCGTGAGGATGCATGGCAAGCGCCAGGTTGGTATGCGTCTGAGCTACATCGAAAAGAGCTCGATCAATGGAAATTTTGGCCACTTCGGTGTGGATCATGGCACGGAGCTGCAGTTCGCCCGAATCGATGGTGGCAAGGGCTTCGGCTATTACGGTGAGTGGCCGGTGCAAAAAGTGGCGTAGGCGAGGTTGCAATAGCGGAAGGGCCGAGTTCCAGACGATGGCGCAAGCCTCTTGGATGTAACCAGGATCTCCCAACTCCTTCAGACGGCTCAAAGTCAGCAGCATGTCTTGCAATGTTTTGACACGCACTTGAATGGCACTTTCAAGGAAGACGTTGCGTTGCTGTGCCAGGATGAGCTCGAGAGCCAGAAGCTCGGCCCGGGCGGCGGGGCCCGTCGCATCACTGGCCAGCTGAACGTGGCCTACAATTTGAGCAACCGCGGCATATTCGCCACCCTCGAGATATAATCTAAAGCAAAAACGATGGTGACCGGAAAGGAGATGAGCAGACGCAAGCCACCATGCAAGAGCAGCACCAAAAATAAGATTTCAAACAGAAGAAGAAAGGAGATTGGGTCACGACCAAAGAACGGCTGGCAAACAGGAAGCGTTTGCATGTACCTCGCGCACTCGACGAGCAAGTGGAGAGCATGTCGACGAATGGCCCCGGAGGTGGCCATGTCGAAATCGGGGCGCGACATGTCTTGGTCATTGGCAACGCCAGGGATGGCGTTGAGCTCTTGGACGGCCTTGCGGAGTTGGATGATGAGCTGTGGCCCAAGCCCAATTCCAGTCACCTTGACGCCATGAAGATCGAGGGCAATTTGTGCCACGGGCGGTAACTTCTGGCGTGTGAGAAACTCCACGCGGACTGGGAGGAGTCGAAGACGAAGCACGAGCTCGGTTTTCACCAGGTCATCGGTTTGCGTGAAGACGAGATGGCCCAGTCGTTCAACGAGCTTTTGTGACAAGGGTGCCTTGACTGCAAGGACAAGGGCACGAATGGCAATGCTGCAGATATCCACACAGGTTGTGTAATTGTGGGTAGAGGCTGGCGCACCGGCTTGAGGATGGTGCTTGTCATTGCCGGTGGGTCGAGCGGGGAGGAGCTGATCGATTTCAAGTGCATCAAGGCTCAAGGTGGCGAGTTGATTAAGACAAGTGGCCATGGACGCCAAGGTATTCCCAGCGGCATGCGGCCGAATCAGGCTCCAAACACGGGCGTGAAAGTTGGCCACGACGGCCAGATACTCGTGGGCGAGGGCTTGATCATGAGTCAGCGATGTTCGGGCCTGGGCGCGGTGAGAAGCCTGGCGGGCATGGGGCATGGGGGAGGCGGTGCGCGGTCTCAGGCTGCTGCGCCGTTCGCTGAGAAGGGCCTGCAGGCGTCGCGACAACGCAGCCGCGTGCTCTGTGATGGTAGAGAGGAGTACGGGCAGTGTTTCAGTGACCCCGTCGTGGTGTCGCAGGGCCAGATCGAGAACAAAGCGGCGAGCGGCCGCCAACTCAAGAAGACTCGGATGCGTCTTGGCCCAGGCGGGCTGAAGGCGCGCTGCTCGCTCGCTGAAAATGGGGAGGAGGTCAAATCGGGCATGGTGCAGCGCGGCCTCAGCCATCCCCATGGCCAGCGTCCAGTCCTCAGCCAAGGACAAGGCATCCTCCTCGCTATACTCGGCACCATCGGTCGAACTAGGCCCCATGTGTGCCGCCGCCGCCTCAAGCGCCTCTACCTCATGCCAGCATACCAAAAGATGCTCCATGATGACCCGTCTGTACACAGCTGGACCCTCACCCCGAGGCAGACCACACCCGCATGAGGGAGGCCACCGAACGGAGCAAACGCCCTCAAAACGCGAGAGAGAGAGAGAGAGAGAGAGAGAGAGAGAGAGAGAGAGAGAGAGAGAGAGAGAAATTGGAAAAGCGTCGCT